CACTCGCGAGCTTCCCCCAGACCAGTAATCCAAACGAAAATATCTTCCCTCCGTAGTATTTTGATCATTTGCTCCGCTAATAATCAATCAGATCGATGGATTCCAGAGAAGAGGAAACTTTGAAGGCCTTTTTCTCAAAATGATGACTCGGTGACAGTCATTATATAATGTGACATATTTCGCTTAATATTTGGAGTACAAAAACAATCCTGATATCATTAGAAAGCTAGGAATCTCCTCTTTCCAACAGTGTATACAACTCAAAATGTGTCTTCGGGTCAATGCAACTGATTTCGATAGAGCAGGTCACATATTAGCACAAACGATTATGTATAACAGCAAAGTGATTGAACCCTATGCAAGGAAAACTGTGTACAGTCATCATTGTTTTATTATCGGACAGTGATCAAATTGGCCTTATGGGTTTTGGTAAATCTTCCATTTTATGTTGATCCTCTAAAATATCAAGAGTGCTTGCCTTACATCCATTTTTCATTACTAACTACAGTTTGAAATATAGTGGACATTGAGGTGGTATTTTGGAGAGACCCTTCATGTATTATATGAAGGATTTACAGTGTGCTACAACAGATACTATATGAAGCGGTGGCAGATGAAATCCATGAATGATAGCAATAAAGTCATTCTGAGATGCAACACCAACCTTTGGAGAGTAATTTCCTAAATTTCTGTGTAGCAATGAGCTGCTGGTCTGGGTCGTCAGAGAAGATCATTTGAATCATATCTGGAGTGATGACCCCCTCCTGTTCACATTAGAGGGATATTCAAAATGATGATCATGCTCAGATAGCTGTAGCTTTTAATATAAGGTGGAAACTGAAGAGAGAAGCAGCACTTGCCCCGGCAGCAGGCACTGTGGAGCTGACGTCTGGATCCTGGATCGGACACTCCAGCATGGATTCATCACTTGAAGGAACACACACATTCCTCCTCTTGTACAGCTGTGGGCACACAGTCACCGTCACATGGTTAACCAGCACCTCATATGTATAGCATGTTGGCTTGATGAACGATCCAACGCCCACGCACAAAAGAAAGGTGCACAGGAGATTTATCACAGTAGACCCTTTTTAGAACCTTTTGTTTCTGCTGTAATCTCCTCTTTAAGACACATTTGAAAATACTTTTCACCACAACACATTGGCCTTTTTTAATAGTTTCACTTGTTTATCTTATTGCTCTTTTTTGTATTATTATCATTCATTATTTGAAGACACAAAGTATTGATAGTAGAGTTTGGTTGACAGATAATCTATTGAAATGACGCTAAAATAGCGTAAATACATAAATAATAATAATCAGAAAAGAGAAAATAGAGAGTGAGAAGAAAACGGAATGGAACACAGGGGTTGTTGTTCTGGTAGTGTAAAGAAGCACAAACAAACAAAGGATAGTCGTCTCTGTAATACTGTATGTATTGTTGCCACTTTTATTATGTTTTTTATTTTATGATTGTTTTGTTATTGTGCAGTTTTTTTTGTAATGCTTTCTATTGACAATTATATTTTAAACTTTTGGCAGAAGACTTAAATCAAAGAGGTTTACTATAAATAACAACAATAAGCATTTGAATCTGTTAAACTGCGGTCCAACGTGTTTCAAACACCATAAAGCAACAGCTGAGAGGAACCTGAGGGTGTTACTTAGGTCATTTAGAAACCCCCACAATACCATCATACATACAGACCCTCGACCTTGATGCTGATTTGATGTGAAGTGTTGTTGTTGCGACGACTGTGCTGGGGATAATGTGCCAGGAACAGGTTTAGTGATCAGGAGGTTTAAGAAGTGTGTTTACCTGCTCCTCTCTTTTCTGCTTGCGTAGCTGTATTCCTTCCTCCTCTCTCCTTCGACGCATCTCCTGAGGAATCAAGGCCTTGTTCTTATAGCTCTTCATCCTGAACGTGTCTTTCCCCGGACTCGCCATCTTGTCTGAAGAGAAACAAAAACCGGCAGTAAATATCAAGGACACCTGCTACAGCAAATGATGTTAAGAACCACAAACAGCGCCCCTGCACAGCTGAGGCTATCATAGAAATTGTCTTAACAGAGAAACAGTGTAGGGGCCTTGCAGATACTTAGTTTGTTGTTATTCAATTATAACATTTATTTAAACATTCATCTTATAGGCACTTTATAATGAATGCATCAACTAGGTACGATACATCTGCAGGTGGATAAGCATACACACTATTAAAATACAAACTAAATGAGATGAATAGAAGTTGTCCTTCCTCATTAAGTCTGACATAGGGCCGATCACAAGTCCAGAAGAAAACCATTCAGTAGCAAATGTGTCACTTTGCTAAACACAGCCTACAGATAAACATGTCTGTATGGCAGGGAAGATAAATACATCTCCTGACAGTGTGATATTGTCAATGTTTTTCATTTACAAGGCCTATTGTGCAAATGAACCACAGCAACCTAATGTTAATGTGTGCTAACTGAATGACAAGACCAAGATAATACTTCTGGTCAACAGGACCCTGACACACTCGGTCAGTCACAGGCAGGTGTCACACCAAGAGTCACAGCTTATAGAGGGAAACAACAAAAAGATGAACTGGCATTTAAGAAATCTCGAAATGTGGATAAGCAATATATTATAAAGAAGCAGCTATGCCATTTGAAGCAACGTTTGGAGCTGAAATGGTAGCATTGTTGGTTCAACAACCAGAAAATGTGCACTTCACTTCCTCGTTATTAAATTAAACGAGCAACTACATTTCACCAGCAGCACAACTCGGAAATTGTAAAATATGCATGTTAAAGTCGCTGTTATCGCCTCTCTTATGACTTGACGATATATTGTGCAGATTGACAGACAGTGACATATCTGGTCTTAACGCTAACCTATTTGACAGCTGTCTTCGCAGCTGGATGCCAAAAACGCACAGTGGCGAAACTAGCTAATGTTAGCTGTCCGAGCTAATGCTACACGGCTGACATTAAAGGCTCACTATCACTATGAAGGGTATTTAAATGCCTGGATGAAGCTGTGGATGAACCAGGTGCAGAGCATCCATCCCGTCGCACTTTGCTTCACTGAGTTATAGAAACATCTCTCCGTGCAACAAAACAGTATTTAGGCCATTTGGGTCAGTAAACGCAACTGAGGGTTGGGGCGCCAAAAACATCAGTTTCTAAAAGAGAATCCCATAATACTGTTTCTTACCCAGTGAAGAGCTAACGTTAATGTACCTGGTAATGTTGGTAGCTACGAGGCTACAACCTTTCAGGCTCTCCCTCTCTCTTTCTAACAGGAAAATGGCGAACGATCAAAACTTTCCCAGCATACACCTCGCGTCAACAACATTACGCCACTTCCGTCAGCTTGTTCTTCGTTTTTTTTAATAACATTTTTTTTTATTTGAAGGATTTGACAAAACAACATGGCTTGGATATTTAAATCATCAATTATATCATAAATACAACATATAACAAATATATTGAAATGTAAAAATGTAATTAAAGTAATTACAACAAAGGGCTTTGGCCTCTTATGTAAATATTGTTCTCTTAAAGGTCCAGTGTCATGCTTTTCCGGTTATTACCATAGGTTATTACCCGTCCCCTTGTGTGTTATGAAGGTTTTTATGCATATAAACGGTCTGCAAAGTCACAAAGTACACCCTGTAGCGAGTAAAACTCTAACATAGAAAAGACCTGTCTGGACCAGAACGCCTCGTTGGAGATTTATCTTTTTCCATTGTTTTCTTCCTGGGTACAGTGACGTGCCCATACCACACACTCTCTCAGCGGCAAAACTGTGGCGCGCTTACACTGTAGGTGCACCGCGTTTGGGGGTGCGGGGGGTTGCAGCTGGTTGCTAGTGGACCCTCGCAGATGGGGATGCTGCAGCCCCCTCAGCATCCCCCCCTTCCCGCGTCCATTCGTGATGCCTCACTGTCTCGCAGACCCCACGCAGCAAGCAGGAAATGAACCCAGCTCACACTGTCCGCTCCTCGCAGCAGCGAGCCGCACAACGTCCCGCCATCACGGCACCCAGACCCCACGCTGCATTCTCATCTGTTTGTCATTACTGGTGTCATTTTCTGGTTGCAAACAATTGTAACACATAATCACTGATGTTCCGCTGTAACAGTGGTTGACTCATCAGAACATAGTGGGCGAGCTGACCAATCAGAGCACAGTGGGCTCACAGGGAGGGGGGCCGGGGGGAGGCAGGAGCTCCAACAAGCCGGACAGAGTGAATACACATAGCCTACTATACAGAGATGCTGTATGAGAAATCAATGTGATTTTGGAACATTGAACAATATACATCTATTCTAGTATACCTCAACAATGGAATTATGATCAGTAGAAATGGCCATGACATGGGACCTTTAAAGTTGCGTGTGTGTGTGTGTGTGTGTGTGTGTGTGTGTGTGTGTGTGTGTGTGTGTGTGTGTGTGTGTGTGTGTGTGTGTGTGTGTGTGTGTGTGTGTGGTGTGTGTGTGTCTGTGTTGTTGTGTGTGTGTGTGTGTGTGTGTGTGTGTGTGTGTGTGTGTGTGTGTGTGTGTGTGTGTGTGTATTGTTGTTGTTAGAG